CACAACCGGTACTGGAAGGAAACGATGAAGACTTTAGAGGCGATAGACGAAGGGGGAGATAGTGAGGACTTTGAGACATTTTATGACATATTGGAACGGTTGGCGATGAGGCTACAGGCCGTTATAGCACTAACTTACCTCAGCTGTTAGACAGATGACCTCATAACTGTTGAGGAGATAAGGTAGTGGAAATAGAAATTGGAAGCTCTTGGAAGGATAGTCGAAGCTAGAAAGGTGGATGGTAGTAGAAGGGCCTTTAGCGGGCTAATCAGGGCTAGGAGAACTAGCAAGGAGGACGGAGAGAGACGCTTGGAGACTCTTGAGGGGTGTTGATCAGGAGACATTGGCTAGGTTTGGGACCCCGATCTGTCTCAAGGATAGAGGTCCTGTCACGGGTGCACTGCAAATCCGGAGAGGCACGGCCTTGTAGGCCGATCCCGAAGGAGAGGTTTACTTAGACACGGGGATTGTTGGGACAGAGGGAGAGTGCGAGATCCGCGACCGGTACGGGATACTGGAAGTGGTAATCAGAGCAGTTGAGAGCTAAGTTTGGAGGTGGACGCGAGCCGTGACAAGAAAACAGGTCCGGGCTGCCGCATCTGTCATAGGTCCGGGCTACAACGACTGTCATAGGGTCGGGCTGTAACAGTTGGCAAGAAAACCTGACTGCGTCTTCAGGAGGTCCAATGGAACCCGACACGATGGGGCCACAACCGACCATGGGCGAAGCGGGAGAGGAGTATAAGACATCGCCCGAYCGAGCTCTGAGAGAACTGAAGGAACGAATTAGGCAAGAAGCGCCGCTGAGATGGGCTGACCAAACCAATGACGGAGGGCCCGACGTAAGAGGCGAACCTGTTACAACAGAGCCGCAGGAGGCTCTAAGGACGGGTACCTCGAGCGGACGACGAGAGACAACGAGACGACGCTCCCCCGAGTACGAGCAGAGGGACACCATAGCGGATAGGCACAGAGACGACTGGAGAGAGAGCTTGAGGGATTCCTGTTGGAGGGACAGAGATAGAGACAGGGCGCCGCCCAGGCGGGTCTTCGATCCCCAGACAGGGGAGTCACATCCGCTTCCTTACGAGAGCAAGGACCGCTATATTATTACGCACAAGGTCTCAGAGCCTCCTACCTTTAGGGGTTATGGTATCACTGAATATCTGGAGAAGTGGGAGCTTCACGCCAGCCGGAGTCAGTGGTCGGAGGAAGAAATTATAGAGAACTTCCTATTTAATGTGGACCCAAGTCTCGGTAGGGAAGTTAAGGAAGCTCGACCGAAGGATGGGAAATGGACTACGTACAAGAAGAGCCTTGTTGAGCTTTACAAATTGGAGGATAACAAGTATTCCATCAAGGACCTTGAAACAATGACTCAAGATGAAGATGAGAGCGTACGGGCATTTGGGATGCGTTTCCAAAAGATCTCCGACGTCCTGATGAAGAAGGGGAAGATCTCAGAGGTCGAGCGTTGTACTATCTTCATCGGACACTTGTCCAAAGGTAGGCAAAAGAGTATACTTAGAGNTGAAGAAGGGGAAGATCTCAGAGGTCGAGCGTTGTACTATCTTCATCGGACACTTGTCCAAAGGTAGGCAAAAGAGTATACTTAGAGGTCTTCCGCGCGACAGGCTTGATTTTCCAGAAGTCCTAAAGCTCACGATAAAGGCAGAGGCAGACGATTACAAGGACTTGGTGTGGAGAGGGATGAGGAGACGTGACTTCTCTCTCTACAAGGAGTATGCCACTGATAGATGTCCCGATTTCAAGGATTATCCCTGGTCGGAGAAGAATGAGGCCGTGGCTGAGAAAGTGAAGGAGATACGGGACATGGTGAAGGGATTAACGAGACAGGTTACAGAAATTGTGACCGCCACAAGGGTCACGGCCTACCGGGACAAACCTGGAGGACCTTATTCACTTCGCTGGGACCGTAGGAACAACGATCCCTGGAGGAGTGTCGAGGATAAAAATCCTCGGACGCTGACTGATTATCGTACGAGGGGAAGAGAAAGAGACGATGAGCCATGGCGACGTAGGGACGATGAGATAGACCGAGACCGCAGAGATCACGAGCCGTTTGTGCGAGCAAGGAGGCTGGATGATTACCCACGAAGCCCTCGCTATGAGGCCGATCGGGGTAGACGCGACTCCCGCAGCCGATGGGAGACAGAACAGGGCCGACGAGATGAATATAGGGACGACAGATACGAGAGGTCGGGTCGAGATGGCTACAGAGGGAGCAGATATGAGAGAAGAGATCGGGATTGGGAACGACGAGATGAGTCGCGCGGACGGTTTGAGCGCGGGGGAGATGCGAGAGAGCACCGCGACGAGTCGCGGGGATGGTACAACCGAGGAGACCGACGCGATGAGTCACGAGGACGATATGACTCGGGGGACCGCCAGAATGATTCCCGAGGGCGGTATGAGCAAGGAGGGTTTGGAGGAGACCGGCGCAACGATCCGCGCGGTCGGAATGAGAGAGGGGGATATGGTGTCTCATCAGAACCATATCCAAAGTCGCCTGACCCCAACGCGGCCAGGAATTCGATGTCTAGAGGCGCAGACGACAGGGCGTCTACTCCCAGGAACTCATGCGTCTACTGTAGAGGAGAGATCATATCAAGAGGGATTGCCCGGTTCTTAAACGGGCAATAAAAGAGGGGCTTGTCGTGCTTGACGACCGCAAGTACGTCAAGTGGGCAGATGATCTCGGAGATGTATCGATGTTCCCTTCGATGAAGGAGAATGTCGAAGCAAGGAGAATAAAGACGAGTAAAGGAATGGAGCCGRTCARGAGCCAGAGCATCAAGATAACCTTTGAGGGGGACATGGCGACCACACCCATAAGGGTGGCAGCCACCAAGTCGGCAAGCGGGTCTACATCGAAAAAAACTGATACGGATTACGTGATGGCTGAGAAGGACGGGCAGCGGGTCGATAGAGAGGAGGTTACCCTTTCGCCGCGAAAGCGGGGAGTCAAGAAGTTCTTAATGAAGAGTTCGCTGGACGAGATTGACACGGTTGAGCCACTGAGGCGGGCCCTTCGGCAACCCATGCAGTGCTCTATTCTAGAGTACCTGGCGGCATCGAAGTCGGTTCGTGATGAGTTACAGATGATCACGCGGAAGATTCGCATACCTCTATCGGAGGAGGGTCAGGGGGCCCCTAAGGCGGAAGCTTCTACAGTAACAGTAACGGGGGTGACTGCCAGAGCRGATCGCATGGCGACAGTCCTTCTCGATGGAATGGAAGGTGTGCCTCCAGACAAGTTTTATATACTTGGTAGCGGGGCCGGGAGACGATTATAAACGAGGAAGCGGTACTCGATGCTGTGATTGATAACGGCAGTGAGGCTGTCATCATAGACGAGGACCTGGCGGTACAAGTTGGACTGGGCCTCGATAGGTCATACCTATTCGAGATAGAGACGACTGATGGGAGAAAGCAACAGATCACTGGGGTTTGTCACAAGGCAGTCATAGAGGTCCAAGGGGTGCGAGTGACCCTGCCTGTCCTTGCAGTCAAGAACTGCAGCTCCGACCTGCTCTTGGGTCGAACGTGGCTCAGCCACGTGCATGCGGTGACGATAGAGCGACCTGATGGGAGCCAATCATTGTCCATTAAGAAGCCAGACGGGACGCGGGTAATGATTGAGACAGTGGAGCCTCGGGACCCGAGGAACAGAGCAGCTCTTGCTGTGGGTGCAAGACCCAGTGATCAGATTAAGTCGTTGCCTATCTCCAGCCGCGCGGTGCGATTTCACGAGAAGAAATATGGACCACTGCTCACAGAGGAAGAAGGTAGG